AATAAGTTGGAATAGGTGTAATAGTTGCAATAGGCGTAACAGTTGTAATGGGTGTAATGGTTGTAATAGGTGCAATGGTCGTAATTGGTGTAACAGATCTATGTTAATTCGTTATCTCTGATTACTAATTAAAGCAACAATTTATGTTTTAAAATATAACAGGTAGGAATGTTGATGTTATACAATTGATTTTTCACATGATGTGCAACATATAAAAAAATAATTTTACAATACCAGATCATTTCGCTAGTACATGTTACGATTATAATCCAACACCATTTTTATTAGTAAAAATGGTATTGGATTATAATCATAACATGTACTAGCAGAATGATCTGGTATTGTAAAATTATTTTTTTATATGTTGCATATTATGTGAAAAATCAATCATATAACATTAACATTCTTACCTGTATTTAAAATACTTATTGGGCTGGAGCGGAGAGGAGCAGAGTGGAAGACCTTTCTATGGTCTACAATATTGAACAGATGTCCGGCTCCTGCCCCTGTAATGGGAAAATAATTAATCTTGAGCAGTCGTATCTCCTGTAAAAATTTAATTAATCGGAAATTCGATTATTTAAAATTATATAATAAAAAAATAATAAAATAGACTATTAAAACTTTAACTAATCAGAAATTCGATCATTAAAATTATATAAGAAAAATTTAATAAAATAGACTATGATATTAATAATGTAATAAAATAGATGCGTAATAATAATGTAATAAAATAGATGCGTAATAAATATGATAAATAAAATAAATAAAATAGACGATTATCATAATAAAAATAGCTTTTAGCAAAAATTATTACAATTTATAAATCGCAAGATTTAACATTATTGCAAACTGTATTAGATATCGGTAATAAGGAATTTGCTATAGGTCTTACATTTGTAGCTATATCAAGAGTTCGTGCACTTTCTGACCTTCTCTTTAATAGTACATTTACTTATAGTAAATTGCAAAAATTAGGAAAAAGTACACGTTTGCAGCAAAGATTAGTTGAAGAACAGAGATTACTTTCTTTATGAATTAAATTAGAGTTGATGTCTATTGAAATGCATATGAACAAATAAAACGCAAAAATATGCTATTTAAAATTAACACATATATATTTGTCAAATGTTTCATTTTTAAGTACCTAATAAATAAGGCTCCAGCCCTATAAAACGTCGCCATTTTACTAGTAACTATAAATTGTATTAATATTTATTTTAATAAATACATTGTGAAGGTTAAACTTACTGACATAGCACAATCCAAAATTGGGCTGTGCTTAATTTTTTTAGTTTATTAGTTTCTATTTGTAATAAGTAAATGAAGGATCGGCAATGGTAAATCACTTGATTGAGAGAATTAAAAGATTCTCGAGAACCAAAAGATTCTTGAGAACCAAAGATTCTCAAGAATCAAAAGATTCATATGAATCAAAAAAATTTAGATAGATACTTTTTCAATTTTTCTAAAAAGTATAAAAGAAGCCCCAGCTCACCTCCAATAAAAAATAACTCAGATAGAGTTTAACTCAGTCGGTTCTTAACTTCAAAAAAAATAAAATAAAATAAAAAAAAAAGAGAAATTGGAACAGCCCAATTTTGGATTGTGCTATGTCAGTAGGTTTAATCTTCACAATATATGTAACGTCTTGGAATTAAGTAACTCAATCAAAGGAACTAAGACTTTATAAGGAGTAAATTTTGATTGACATTTAGACCTTCTGTTGTGAGATTGACTTTAACGACTTTGAATAAGGAATTTGAAATATGTATTTATGCTATTCTTTATTAAACAGCTTATAGGATAGACTTTATGATATTTATATGAGTATTTAAACTTCTAAATTTATAGTAAACGCATTTTTTAAAAGTTCAACAATTGTTATATTCAAAAATAGAAAATTAAGTTATAGAAATTATTTGTAGAATATACTAGCTAGCAAAATATATTCAAAACTTTGATGAAATGTTTACATTAACTATAAAGTGCTAAAATATATATTTGTACCCAAGATATATTTTCACTTTGTTTTTATAACTTTTTAAAGCTTTATATACTCGGGTATTCCTAAAAAAAGATGTAAAAATATAATATGAATATATAAATCCAATTTAAATGTCCAAATTACACTACGTATAAACCATGGAGAAATATATAAATTCAATTTAAATGTCCAAAATTATTATCCATCACAAGTATTGGTATCCCTTATATTTTTACTAAAGATGCTACTGACACAGTAACACATGACCTAATTCTGCCATACCCTAATACTAAAATATACTGTATAAATCATAAAAAATATATATGTTAACACTTTATAATGCCTATATCTAATATGAATCATTGAACTGTCTAGAAATAATTTCATCTACATCATATTCATTTTTTTGTAAATCATCATCTGACTCAATTTCATTTGACACCTCATTTTCATAACGATCTTCAGAGTTTGTAAAAACTAAAGAACGAAGATTAATAAAACTTAAAACATTCAAATTTAAATCTATTTCATTAGAATAAAGATCTTCAGTAGGATTAGACAATTCTATGTCTTCTTCTTCCACTAATCTTTCTTCTTCAAATTCTTTAAAAACTGTTTCTGCAATATCAGACATTATTTCAGGAGTTATTACTATAAATTGAGTATGACGAAGTTGATCTATAGGATTTGATAAATTGAACCGATAAACTTTTGCCAGCCCTTCTAATCGATCTATATCTAATCATGTTCGATGATTTCCATAAATCCATCCTAATGATGAAAAAATTCTTTTGCAATTAGCAGAACTTGGCGTAATAGAAAAAAGTTTAACAGCCAAGTGTTGCAAATGGTTAGGTTTAGCTTTACAAGTATTCCACTACATCAATGATGTATCACTACCAATTGTATAAAGGGCAACATAAGGATTTGGATTTCTATTTATATTTTGTTCTTGCCCTTTATAAAAATGCAGTTGTGTAATTAAAGCTTTACAACTTTCTTGAGATTTGCCCATTTGTTGCCATAACTTTCCAGCATAACTTGCAATTAAAGAAAATGTACCAAATTTTAATCCAATACCTTTGTATGCTGGGTGAAGAAAATATGTAAGTTGATAAGCAGGATCATTAAATTCTTCAAACCATTGATCAAACTTTCTAATACAATAATTGCGAAATCCTCTATATTCTTCAGTAGGAAGATTTTGTATTGCCGCAGCAATTCTCATCAAATTAATATAACAGTCAGCAAGTGTAGAACGATTTGCTTCAACTGACAAAATAGCATCCTTAATGGAAGTAAAATCTCTGAAAAATATTGCATATTACTAAAAAAGCCTCGACTATGAAGAATCGTCAAAATAACAGGATTAAGAATTTCAGAATGATTTTTCTGAATATCCTCTAAACAAACTTTAAGTCTTACAATTGATAAAATGCATTCATGTACTGTTGTCCATCTTGTTTCGATATAGGTTTTAAGACCACCTCTACTAATTTGGTGTACCGAAATTTTTTGTTTTAAAATTGCTGCAGCTTTATGAGATCTTTTAAAAAAACTTGTTATTTTATTAGCACGCTGAATCATCCTTTCTGAAAATGTATGCTGAGTAAAATCTTTACTAATTAGATTAAAGCAATGAGCAATGCATCGGATATTCATAATGTGTTTATATATTGAACAAATTATGCATCGTGCAGATGCTACATTGGCTCCATTATCACTAATAATTGCTGAAATTTTATTATTACCAATATGATCAATAATTGATTCAATTTTACTGGCTAGAAATTCTGCTGTATGTGATTGTTCCGAGTAATTTCCAAGTTCATAAAGAAATTCTTGCCATAATGGTGTCATGATAACAAAATTCCAAATTGATAATCCATTAGGAGCAGTCCAACCATCAAGACCAATAGTAAGATTAGTAGTATGGTCTAAAATTTTATCAATTTTATTAACAACTTTTGCAACTTCAATATCTAATAGACGTCCAGAAAGAATTTCATGTGATGAAACTTCATAACCAGGATTAAAAAGTTTTAGAGTATTTACAAAAAAAGGATTATCAATTACACGAAAAGGAATACCACACATAATAAAGGCTAATGCAATAGCTTCATCAATTATTGATTGTTTAGATGGCTCGATTCTGACAGAATCAAACCAATTAGTTAATTTTGCTTTTTTTTGTTTAA